AAAACCACCCGCCCTCATTCCGTGAATACCCTGCAAGTTTCTAAAACGAATGCGGGCGGCGCTAAGGCGAGAGCCACATTTTGAAAAGCACCCGCCCTCCACCTGGAAAACTGTTGCCGGCTTTTTAATTTCAGGCTCATGAATGGTATGGAAGCCTCAGGCGAAACCCCTGGCTCGCCCTTCCGACTGGCTTCGGGGTGCAAAAGGGAGGAACGATTCATAAGGAAAAGGGATGGAGAAGGAAGACGACGACGCAACAACGACGACGATGACGACGATGACGACGACGACGACGATAACGACGACGACGATGACGATCGCGACGACGAGGAAGAGGAGGAAAAGGAAAAGGAATACGCTGAGGGCAAGGACGAGGACGAGGAGAGGGAGGAGGAGGAGGAGAAGGAGGAGGAGGAGGAGGAGGAGGAGGAGGAGGAGGAGGAGGAGGAGGAGGAGGAGGAGGAGGACAACCACGACGAGGGCGGAGCCTTCAAAATCGCCTGTTGTAGCCCTCTCGGGGGATCTAGGGGTCCTCTTGGGGCTGTTTTGGGGGCCTTGGGGCTCTCTTGGGGCTCTCTGGCAGCCCTCTTGGAGGTGCCTTGGGAGCCCTGGAGGGCCTCTTGGGGCCATCTTTGACGCCATCGATCAAAAGGGGGGCCATCCCAATTTGCCTTGCCCCCAAGGGTCCATCAACATCGCCTCGTGGGGCACTCTTGGGCCGATCTTGGGCGCTCTTGGGGCCGTCTGGGGCACCTCTTGGGCCCTTCTTGGGCCATATTCGGGCCATCTTGAGACCTGAAGAGCGCGTCGGAAGCGAAAAGGGGAGAAGTGACGAATCATGGATTTCCTTACTGTTTAACGGATCCGGGCCTCCTCAAGATTGTCCGGGGAACTCCCAAGACGGTCGAACGGCCCCCCAGGACGGCCCCAAGGGAGGCCCAACGGCCGATTCTGGAGCGCTCCCCCCTCCCGACCCCGCTTCGCCCACGGCCAGCCAGCCCCGAAGAGGCTCCCCAAAGTCTCCCAGACGGCCTCCAGACCCCCCTAAGTGGCTCCCAGAAAGCCTCCAGCAGCTCCCTCGAACAGCTCTGACATGCTCCCAGAAGGCCCCAGATCATCCGAAACAAAACGATATCCCACAGGGCCTCCAGCAGCTCCCGAACGACCCGGACAGGCTCTCAGCAGGCACCAGATGATTCGAAAACGCCGCACCCCACACCTCTTGGGACATCCCTCGCGCGGGAGGGGCTGTAGAAAATAGCTGTCCGCTCCACCCGTGGGCGCTGTTTCTGAGACCCCTCTTGCGCCGAGCGTGTCCCCTTCCGTGTTTCTCCTCACCGCCGTCGCCCCCCCCCGCCGCACGCAAAAATCGTCCCAATCCTTAAGGAGAACGGGCATTTTCGCAATTCCAGTGCTTGTCGTTCTCACAGCGTCCAAGAGGACAATGAATCCACCCCCCCAAGATCGCTCCAGGACGCTTCAGGAGCGCCCCATGAGGGCTCAGCAGCGCCCCATGAGGGCCCCCAAACGGCTCAAGACGGTCCCAAGACGGCCCAAGACGGTCCCAGGACCGCTCCCGAGGCGCCCACGACGGCCCAAGAGTCACAGAAGGCAACCCCAAGAGCGGCCAAAGACAGCCCAAGATGGCCCCAAGACTGCCCCAAGCTAGCACCAGAGGCGTCTAAGATGGCCTCAGACGGCCCCAAGACGGCCCAAGGGGCACCCAAGACGGCCCAAGCGGGCCCCAAGAGGCCCCCAGGAGGTCGCAAGATGATCCAAGGGGGCCCCAAAAGGCCCCCAGGAGGCCGAAAAGAATCTTCCATGGGTGCGGGCGCGAGCGAAAGAACGCCGAATAATGAACAGCAACATGGGCGCTACTTCCCTTTGCTATTGCCTCCCAGCTCCATGGCGCCCTTCGCCACTGCCGCCCAAGTGAGGCGAGATACACCAGGGGCGTCCAGGGGAGCGCAGTCCCCAACGCAGTCAGATCCCAGAGGGGCTCAGAGACGGCGCCCAAAAGGACGTGGCTCCCTGCGCGTCCACAGTGAGCCCCCATGCACAGTCCACCGTGCGACATATCGAGTGCCCTGGGGCAGCATCGATCTTTCCCGTGGGCACGAAGCAGACAGCAGCAGCGGCGGCACACAGCAGCAGCAAGCAGCGGCAGGCAGCGGGTAGAAGCACGGAACTGGCCATCAGCAACAACCTGCAGCCACAAGCAGCCAGAACATGCAGCAGTGGCCACAAGCACGACCAAGAGGAAACAAAAGCGGCAACAAGCAGCAGCACGCAGTAGCATGCGCGGAACGTGAGGTCGGGCCCCACAATCAGATGCCAGTTCGTGCAGATTTCGTGGACGGAGTCCACGGGTCAGTCCTACCGACGTCGCAAGCCTCCTTCCGGTGCCCACAACCCTCGACGACGACGACGACCACCACCACCACCACCACCCACGACAACGACGCCGACTACGACGGGTAATTACGACGGCGGCCTCGCGGCAGCGACGACAACGACGCCGACGATGACGGCGACGACGGCGGCCCCGCGACGGCCAAACTGCTGGAGTGCTGCTATAGAGCTCGGACAAAAGATGTCGTGGACCGAGTCCACGGGTCAGCCGTAGTCTTCTTACCTACATTGCAGGCATACGTGCGTGCGAGAAGGGCCTGTCAATCAAAACCCGGGAAAACGCCCCCGGGTGCCTCCTCCGAATTCGATGACGTAATTCAACGCGCCCTCTTCGGTCGAGGACGAGATTTCGCGCGAACGTGCCGTGTTAAATCTTGCCCGCGCCCTAGGGGCCGAGCGCTGAGGCCCCGGCCCTGGCGCGGACAAGATTCAACATGCTGCCCAGGCGTTGAAACTTGTCTTCCGGCACAAACGGACGCGCCGAGTCGCCCAATTTTTCAGAATCCCACAGGGAGCCCCGGAATGGCTCCAGACGGCCCGAGACACCCTGAAGGATAGCCCCCGAGGCCGCCTACGACGGCAATGACCCGGGCCCATGGAGGCCCACCAAGGCCGCCACAATGCGCGGCATGACCGCCCGAGGGCGAAATTTGACGCGGGGTCTGGACCCGAGGACGAGACTTAACGTGAGGGTCCCGCGCCCCCCGAGCTCGACGACAACGTTGAAAGCGAGGGTGGCGTGTTGAATTTTGTCCATGGCTCCCGATCGCTGAGGCCTCCGGCCTGCCGCGGACAGATCTAACGCACTGCCCGGGCGTTCACTTTTGTCTTCAGGCTCTCCACGGCTCAAGGAGCGTCTCGGCGCAGAAGGACTGGAGATGCGCTTTCTCGGGAAAATCTCCCCCCCCCCCCCCCCCTGAAAGAGGACGTAGCCCATGCACGGGTCAGCCCATGGATGCCGGCCCCCGGGGGCGGGGCGACCGCCGAGCTTGGAGCCCTTGCACGCGGAGCCCGAGACCACCGGCAACCTCGGGAACAGCTCCGAGGCCCTCGGCCGCGCGGCCACCGCGCCAGCGACGCCGGCAGACCATGCGACGACGGCGGCGACAGCGGCGAGGGCGGCGACAGACTTCCTCCTCCTTGAATCAAGTCGGGCCTGTCCCCCTACAGGGGGATTTTCGACGATAAATAAAAAGTATTCCAAAAATAGTCCCAAAATAGTCCCAAAATAGTCTGGGGACTATTTTGGGGGTATTTTTTGACCTTTTTGGGGCATTTTTGGGGTACTTTTTATTTTTCGTCGACAATCCCCCTGTAGGGGGACGCGCCCGACATAATCCTTGACCGAGTGGAGCCAGGCTGGGAGCTTCGGCCCGGTTGCAACCGGCGCCTAATGGCTGCAGTGGGAAGCCAACGTGGCGCCTAACGTAATTGAATGCGCCTGGCGGCACTCCTCCTCCCCTCGCGAGTGGACGCAGTCCACGGGTCAGCCCTAGTCATCTACAGCGCTGGGATCAGCGCGTGCGGGAAGGGCGAGCAATGGCAGCAGGCTCTGGTGCTGCTGAGCGAGATGTGGGAGGCGAGGGTGCAGCCCAACGTCATCAGCTACAGCGCTGGGATCAGCGCTTGTGGGAAGGGCGAACAGTGGCAGCGGGCTCTGGCGCTGTTCAGCGAGATGTGGGAGGTGAAGCTGGAGCCCAGCGTCATCTCTACTACATTGCAGGGACCAGTGCATGCGAAAAAGGCGGGGGTCCGATACGGTTTTTCGGCGCCCGGCGGCCCCTGCGAGCCCCAGCAGGCCTTGGCGCGCTTCCAAGATGGCCCAAGAGCCCTCCGACACGCCCCGGGAGGCCTCCAACAGAGCCCCCAGATGTCCCAGGACGGTTCAATAGGGCCTCCGAGACGGTCCAAGAGCGCTCGAAGACGCTTAAGGCCCCCAAGATCGCCCAAGACGCTTCAGGAGGCCCCATCAGGCCCCCAAGACGGCCCCAGACTGCCCCAGGACGGTTCCTGTGGCGCCCATGATAGCCCAAGAAGCGCCCAAGACGGCCCCAAGAGCGGCCAAAGATGGCCCAAGAGGGCCTCTAGACGGTCCCAAGACGGCCCTACAGGCGCACAAGACGGCCCCAGACGGCCCCAGGAGGCACCCAAGACGGCCCAAGAGGGCCCCAAGAGGCCCCAGGAGTCCGCAGGACGGCCCAAGAGGGCCCCAACCCCGAGAGGCCACCAAACAGTTTCTAAGGAGACGGCAGCGCCCGCCATCAGGCGTCGAAAGGCAACCGGAGAAAAGTCACCAGAGCCCTCCGGGTGATTTTTTTCTAGGCCCCAGGTGCTTTCAAAATTGTTCAAACCAGGGGGATCAGACAAGCGGCGAGAGGTACACTGCAGACCATCCATAGCCGCCTGTGACGCTCCGAAGGCTGTCCAGGTGGACGTGGAGCGGAAGGCGGACGAAGATGAGGAAGCGCCCGCCTTCCAACTTCGGAAAGGTGGCCGGAAAAAGTCACCGAAGGCTTCGGGGTGACTTTTTCCTGGGCGGGACCCCAACGTGGAGGCGCGCCAGGGGGACCTGCTGGTCGTGGACGAAGTCCACGGTCAGCTACAGCGCTGGGATCAGCGCGTGCGAGAAGGGTGAGCAGTGGCAGCGGGCTCTGGCGCTGCTGAGCGAGATGTGGGAGGCGAAGCTGGAGCCCGACGTCATCTCCTACAGCGCTGGGATCAGCGCGTGCGAGAAGGGCGAGCAGTGGCAGCGGGCTCTGGCGCTGCTGAGCGAGATGCGACAGGCGAAGATGGAACCCAACGTCATCTCTCCTACAATGGCCGGACCGGCGCTCGCGGAGCTGCCGATCGGTGGCAGCGGACAGGTCCTCTCAGGCGGCCCCTGCGAGCCCTAGCAGGCCTCGGCGCGCTTCCAACATGGCCCAAGAGCGTTCTGAGACGCACGAGGAGGCCCCCAAGAGGGCCCCCAGACGGCCGAAGACGGCCCAAGAGGCTTCCAAAACGCTCCAAGTGAGCTTCACGACGAGCCTCAAGAGAGCCCGAACACTGAAAAATCGTCCCATTTCCCAGAGAAAACGTACATTATGGCAGTTCCCTGGCTTGCCCTCTTCATAGCGTCCAAGACGGCTGGCGGCCCACGGGGTACCCAAGACAGCCTCAAGAGCGGCACAGGACGGCCCAACACGACCCCCAGACGGTGCCCAGACTGCTCCAGAGACGCCCAAGGCGGCCCCAGGCAACCCCCAGACGGCCCCGACAACGCTTCACACGTCCTCTAGACGGCCCAAGAGGCTTCCAAAAACGCCCCAAGTGGGCTCCACGACGAGCCCCAAGAGAGCCCGAACACCGAACAAACGTCTCATTTCCTGGGGAAATAATGCATTTTCGCAGTTCTCGGGCTTGCCCTCTTCATAGCGTCCGAGACGGCCATGCAGGGTCCCAAGATGGCCCCAGGACGGCTCCTGATGCGCCCCTGGCGGCCCACGGGGTACCCTAGACAGCCTCAAGAGCGGCCCAGGACGGCCCTGGACGACCCCCAGACGGTGCCCAGACTGCTCCAGAGACGCCCAAGACGGCCCCAGACAATCCTCAGACGGTCCCGGACCGCCTGCACACGGCCCAAGGGGCACCCGAGACAGCCCCAGAGGGCCCCAGGAGGCTTCCAGGAGGGCGAAAAGAAGCGCCGAGAGGCTCCTAAACGACCCCCAGAGGCCTCAAGATCACGGCCCAAGAAGCACCGAAGACGGCACCCATAGTCCAAGATGGCCAAGACGGCCGCAGACGGTCCCGAAACGGTTCCCAGCGCACCATGGGGCTCTGATGCTTGTTCGGCGCTCCCTGCCGGATTTGGCCCAAAATCCCTTGCCCTTTTTGTCGGTCTGGAGCCCCCTCCGCGGCCTCTTGAGGCAATGCTGTGTTTCTCTCTTCTGGTGACCCAGAATCGCCTCGCCTCGAGAGGTTTCACAGCTTCGGGAGGTTTTTGAAATAGGCCCCAGAGGTCTCTTTGCGGGTCTCGGCCCTGCCCTATCATGATAGGGCAGGTTTTCGACGCTATTCTGGTCCACTTTGGGTCATCTCCGGCTCCGACCGGATCATTTCGGGCTGTCTTTGGGGCTTCATGGGGTATTTTGGCGGGTCTCGGCCCTGCCCTATCATGATAGGCCATGTTTTCGACGCCATTTGAACCCTCTTTGGGCCATCTCCGCCAGTGGCAGCAAGCACGCGTGCACAGTAGTCTTCTCTACAATGCAGGGACCCGCGCGTGCGGGAAGGGTCCCTGTCTTGATCGATTTGAAATACCCCACAACGCCTCCGGGGACGCCCCAGAGGCGCTCACGCGGCTCAAGAGGCGCCCAGGACGGCCCCAGACACAACCCAAAACGGCCCAAGAGCGCTCCAAGAGAGCTCAAGACCGCCGAAAACGGCCCCGACAAGGCCCAGGAGGCCTCCACGACGGCCCCAGAGACGCCCAAGAGGCGTCCCAGGATGGCCCCCACATGCCCAAATCATTGTTTTTCCAAAGAAAAACGGTCAATTTTAGCATGCACTGCTTGTCGGGTATATGGCGCAGAAGATGGGACAAGAGGTCCCCACGACCGCCCCAAGACGGCCCAAGAGGCCCCCCAGAGGCACGAAAACCAGTCCGAGAGAGCGTCAAGAGACCCGAGAGGCGCCCACCACGGCCCCCAGGCGGCCCCAAGAGGCTCCCAGGAGGCGCCCAGGACGGCCCCAGACACCCCCAAGACGGCCCAAGAGCGCTCCAAGAGAGCCCAAGACCGCCGAAAACAAACCCAAGACGGCCCAGGAGGCCTCCACGACGGCCCCAGAGACGCCCAAGAGGCGTCCAAGGATGGCCCCAAGATGCGAAAATCATTGTTTACCCGAAGAAAAGCGTTCAATTTTAGCATGCGCTGCTTGTCGGGAATATGGCGCAGAAGCTGGTTCAAGGTCCCCACGACCGCCCCAAGACGGCCCCAAGAGGCCCCCAAGACGCACGAAAACCGGCCCGAGAGGGCGTCAAGAGAGCCCAAGAGGCGCCCAAAACGGCCCCAGGGCGGCCCCAAGAGGCTCCCAGGACGGCCCCAGGTATCCCCAAGACGCTCCAAGAGCGCTCCACGACAAGCCAAGACTGCCTTTTGCGGCGCCGTCTTGGCCCCAGACACCCCCAAAACGGCCCAAGAGCGCTCCAAGAGAGCTCAAGACCGCCGAAAACGGCCCCGACAAGGCCCAGGAGGCCACGACGGCCCCAGAGACGCCCAAGAGGCGTCCCAGGATGGCCCCCACATGCCCAAATCATTGCTTTTCCAAAGGACAACGGTCAATTTTAGCATGCACTGCTTGTCGGGTATATGGCGCAGAAGATGGGACAAGAGGTCCCCACGACCGCCCCAAGACGGCCCAAGAGGCCCCCCAGAGGCACGAAAACCGGCCCGAGAGAGCGTCAAGAGACCCAAGAGGCGCCCAACACGGCCCCCAGGCGGCCCCAGGACGGCCCCAGACACCCCCAAGACGGCCCAAGAGCGCTCCAAGAGAGCCCAAGACCGCCGAAAACAAACCCAAGACGGCCCAGGAGGCCTCCACGACGGCCCCAGAGACGCCCAAGAGGCGTCCAAGGATGGCCCCAAGATGCGAAAATCATTGTTTTCCCGCAAAAAAGCGTTCAATTTTAGCATGCGCTGCTTGTCGGGAATACGGCGCAGAAGCTGGTTCAAGGTCCCCACGACCGCCCCAAGACGGCCCACGAGGCCCCCAAGACGCACGAAAACCGGCCCGAGAGGGCGTCAAGAGAGCCCAAGAGGCGCCCAAAACGGCCCCAGGGCGGCCCCAAGAGGCTCCCAGGACGGCCCAAGGTATCCCCAAGACGCTCCAAGAGCGCTCCACGACAAGCCATGACGGCCTTTTGCGGCGCCAAGACGGCCCAAGACGCCTCTACGACGGCCCAAGAGACGCTTCCCAGGAGGGCCCCAGGAGGCCACAATTATTTTTTTCCCGACGGATGCCGTACACATGTCAGCATCTCCGGCTTTCCGGGTTTCATGGCGTAGACGACGGCCCAAGAGGCCCCCAACACCGCCCCAAGACGGCCCAGGATGCTCCCACAGGGGATCCACACTGGCCCGACGGAGCGTCCAGACATGTAGCCGAAGAGCCGCCCAAGACGGCCCAGCAGGGCCGCAATACGGCCCCCAGAGCTTCCCAGCCACCTGGAGGGCCATTTTTCGACACCCCTCACGGAGATCCTGGCCCCCGAGCGTCACAGATCGAGCCCTCCGCCCAAAGACGCGCCGAAGTGACCAGCAGAGGCTCCAAGGAGCGCCCAAGAGGCCCCCTAAAGAACCAGAAGAAGCTCCCACAGTCCTCCCAAGCATGCCCCCAGAGGCCAAAATCCTTAATTGTTCGATGGTTTTCGAAGGAGTTTTGCCTTCTCGCCTTCTCGGCCAGCAGACGCTCCAAGACGGCCGCAGAGACCCACAAGACCGCCCCAGGACGGCCCAACAGGCCTCCAAGCGCGTCCCCAGACGGCCCCGTGAGCCCCAAGATGGCCCAAGAGGCCCAAACCAGGCCCAAGGAGGGCCAACGAACAAGGAAAAACCATGACATTCCGAGCCCTGGGCCCCCATACGCCCACACAAGGCCCCAAGAGCGCCCCAAGACGCCCCGAGGAGGGCCCCCAAACGGCCCGAGTGCCCCGGGACGGCTCCAGAAGCGCCCGAGACGGCTCAAGAGACACCCAAGACAACCCGAAGAGCGCCCAATAACGGCCCAAGATGGCCCCAAGACGGCCGCAAGATGGCCCGAGAGGCGCCCAAGACGGCCCGACAGGGCCCCAAGGCGGCCCAAGAGGCACTCAAGATGGCCCAAGAGGGCCCCGAGAGACCCCCAGGAGGACGAAAAACGGCTTCCAAACGGCCCCCAAGAGGCCTTGAATGCTTCCTGTTGGGGAGCGTCGAACTTCCAGCGTCGTCTTGGGGACTTTTTGGACCCTATGGGAGCCATCTCTAGGCCTTTTGGGGGCGTTTTGGGGCGGTGCGCTCGAAAGGTCGCTTCGTGTCCTCGCATTGGGGCCCGTCTTAGGGAGTTCGTGGGGCCCTCTTGGGCCGTCTTGGAAGCCTCTTGGCCCGCCCCGGAGACTTCTTGGGCCGTCTCGGCGCCTTCTTGCGGGCCTCTTAGGCCGCGCCCACCAGTCCCATTCACACCGCACTACCAAATAAAATTATCATTCGGCCCCGGCGAAGAGCAGATACAATTATCACGGCGACCCGCCCCGCAAAAACTATTACGAACACAGAGCGCGGCGTGAGAAACAGCCACATCATGTCGTGCATCGGTGTGCGTCCATTGACACCGCCTCCACGACCGCGTTCCTGCCTTCAGGCCTGCTTGCCTGTATCCCTCGCCTACCTCGCCCTCCAGCGGCCATATCCTCCATCCATGCCGTCCCCTCCAACCTCCCCCCCCCGCGAGGCCCCGGAGACGCTCCACTTCCACGTCCACGCCATGGCGGGCAGATTCCGCGGCCAGAAGGCCGCGGGTCAGCTCTAGTCTCTACTACATTGCAGGGCCCAGTGCGTGCCAGAAGGGCGCAGGCCCCAATGCACCGAAACCGCCCCGGGCTGGCCCCGGGCCGCCCCAGGCCGCCCAGGCAGGCTCCAGGACATGTCGAGAGGGCACCCAGAAGCCCCCAAGACGGCCCCGGAGAGCCCCGGCACGCTTAAAGATGGGCCCAAGACGCTTGAGATTTGCCCCAGACGGCCCAAGAGGCGTCCAAGACGCCCGAAGAGGCCTCCCAAGAGGCCTCCCAAGAGGGCCCCGAGCGACAGAAATCGTCGATTTCTATTGTGTTTTTCTATGTTTTCGGCCTCCTCGTCTCTTCGGCTTCCCGACGCTCCAAGACGGCCCAAGAAGTCACCCCGACCGCTCCAAGACGGCCGAAGAGGACCCCAAGAGAGCCCCAAGACGGGCCAGGAGGGCCCCAAGACGGTCCCAAGACGCCCCAGCACGGCCCCAGGACGGCCCAGGAGGCGCCCAAGACGGCCCAAGAGGCACCCAAGACGGCCCCAGGAGCGGCCCAAGACGGCCCAAGACAGCCCAAGAGGCGCCGAGGCGGGCCTCAGACGGCCCCAAGACGGCCCAAGAGGCACCCAAGACGGCCCGAGAGGGCCCTAAGAGCCCCCCCGGGAGGCCCAAAAGAAGGCCGAAGAGGCTTCGAAACGGCCCCCACGAAGCCTTCAGTGGCTTCAGAATTCCCTCCAGGAGCGGGGGAACGGACGAGAGGCGACAGGCATATCGCAGGCAAAAACGCCCCAAGAGATCCCCAAACGGCCCCCACGAAGCCCTAAGTGGCTTCAGAATTGCTTCCAGGAGGGGGGGAGCGGACGAGAGGCGACCGGCATATCGAATGCATCATGATTGCCTTTCGGCCCTGCAGCCGCACCCCCCCGCGCTTGCCCAGAGACCCCTCGCCACGTCGAGCTTATGTCGTGGACGGAGTCCACAGGTCTGCCCTAGTCAGCTACAGCGCTGGGATCAGCGCGTGCGAGAAGGGCGAGCAGTGGCAGCGGGCTCTGGCGCTGCTAAGCGAGATGTGGGGGGCGAACCTGAAGCCTAGCGTCATCTCTTCTACAATCCATGAATCCGCGCACGCCAGAAGGTGTTGTGCATCAATCGACTTCTTCTAACTCCGAGAGGCCCTGGGAGGCCGAAAAGCGCTCCGGGGCAGCTTGGACAGCCCTGCGGGCTGCGGGCCAGGTTTCCTATACGGCCCAACAGAACCCAAAGACGGCCGAAGAGTCGCCTAAAACGGCCCCAAGACGGCCTTAGTTAGGCGGCCAAGACGCCTCCCAAACGCCCCCAAACCGGCCCAAGAGATGTCCAAAAGGGCCCCGAAGGCCGCCCCGAAAGGCCAACATCGTCCCGAACCTCAAAGGGTTTTTTTGCTTATTCCCAGCCCTCCTTGTGTTGGGTAATCGTTTTGAATAGAGCACTGTGGTATCCACCTCCCGCCCTCTCCTCCTTCTTCTCTCCTGTGTTCGCGGTGCCCTGCGGGGCTGCGATCTGCGCAACCGTCGCCACTTTCGCGGGTTCCTGGGAGACCCAGCGGAGGTACGTCCTACGCGGACCACTTTGAGGCCTCCCTCCCTGTCCCCTGCGGGGCTGCGATCTGCGCAAGTCGCCACTTTCGTGGGTTCCTGGGGGCCCAGCAGAGGTGCGTCTTACGCGGACCATTTTGAGGCCTCCCTGCCCCCTGCGGGGCTGCGATCTGCGCAACTGTCGCCGCTTTCGTGGGTTCCTGGGAGGCCCAGCGGAGGTGCGTCCTACGCGGACCACTTTGCGGCCTCCCTGTCCCACCATTTTGAGGCCTCCCTGTCCGTTTGGCGCACCTGGCGCGCGCCTGGCGCACCTGGCGCGCACCTGGCGCACCTGACGGGCTGGGCGCACCTGGCGCACACCTGGCGCGCCTGGCGCACCTGGCGCACCTGGCGCACCTGTCGCACCTGGCGCACCTGGCGCACCTGGCGCACCTGGCGCGCACTTGGCGCGCACCTGGCGCGCACCTGGCGCGCACTTGGCGCGCTGGGCGCACCTGACGCACCTGACGCGCTGGGCGCGCCTGGCGCGCACCTGGCGCACCTGGCGCACCTGACGCACTTGGCGCACCTGGCGCACCTGGCGCACCTGGCGCACCTGGCGCGCCTGGCGCGCCTGGTGCAACTGGCGCACCTGGCGCACCTGGCGCGCACCTGGCGCACACCTGGCGCACACCTGGCGCACCTGGTGCATCTGGCGCACCTGGCGCACCTGGCGCGCTGGGCGCACCTGGCGCACCTGCCACACCTAGAGCAGACCTGGCGCACCTGGCGCGCCTGTCGCACTTGGCGCACCTGGCGCACCGGGCGCACCTGTCGCACCTGGCGCACATGGCGCACCTGGCTCACTTGGCGCGCCTGGCGCAACTGGCGCACCTGGCACACCTGGCGCGACTGGCGCACCTGGCGCACCTGGCGCGCACCTGGCGCACACGTGGCGCACACCTGGCGCAACTGGCGCACGTGGCGCGCGCCTGGCGCGCACCTGGCGCGCACCTGGCGCGCACTGGACGCGCTGGGCGCACCTGGCGCACCTGGCGCGCTGGGAGCACCTGGCACCTGGCGCACCTGGCGCGCATTGCGCAACTGGCGCGCCTGGCGCGCGTGACGCACCTGGCGCACCTGGCGCGCCTGGCGCGCACCTGGCGCACACCTGGTGCACCTTGCGCACCTTGCGCATTTGGCGCACCTGGCGCACCTGGCACACCTGGCGCGCGCCTGGCGCGCACCTGGCGCGCACCTGGGCCAGGCGCACCTGGCGCACACCTGGCGCACACCTGGCGCGCCTGGCTCACTTGGCGCGCCTGGCGCACCTGGCGCACCTGGCGCGCGTGGCGCGCGTGGCGCACCTGGCGCACCTGGCGCGCCTGGCAAGCCTGGCGCGCCTGGCGTACCTGGCGCACCTGGCGCGCGTGGCGCACCTGGCGTACCTGGCGCAGCTTGCGCATTTGGCACACCTGGCGCGCTGGGCGCACCTGGCGCACCGGGCGCACACCCGCACAACTGGCGCAGAGTTGGCGCACCTGGCGCGCCTGGCGCATCTGGCGCACCTGTCGCGCCTGGCGCGCCTGGCGCACCTGGCGCACCTGGCGCACCTGGCGCACCTGGCGCACCTGGCGCACCTGGCGCACCTGGCGCGCATGGCGCGCTTGGCTCACCTGGGGCGCATGGGCTTCTGGGAGGCTCAGCGGAGGTACGTCCTACGCAGATCTCCACTATACCATGGCGCCGAAATGTCCTTCGGTATTGAGTGGTCCTGAATACAATTGCCACTTGTGTGGAACAGGTTGGGTACGTCGCAGGATAATTATTTTTTCGTCTTCACAAAATACCAGCAGGTCCCAGGGGACCCCAAATTCCCTCAAGACAGCCTCAGAGGCCCACGTGAGACGTGAGAGCCCCAAGACGGCCCCAGGACGGCCCAAGAGGCGCCTAAGACGGTCCAACAGGTCCCCAAAAAATTTTAGAGACGAAAAGTGCCCTCAGAGACTCCAGAGAGACCCCCAGGAGGCCTCGAAGAGGGTTTGTCGAAGAGAGTCCAGACGACAGGCTTCCCGCAGCCCCAGACGACCCACGAGGGCCGCAAAATGGTCGAAGAGGGCCCCAGAGGCTCCAGAGAGACCCCGGCGATGCCTTGAAGAGGGTCCGAAGAGTCCAGATGAAGGGCTGCCCGCAGCCCCCAATTGGCCAAGCTCCTTCCAAGGACCACGCCGAGATGCCCCAGAGTCTCCCAATAGACTCCGAACTTGCCAAGGATCTCCCAGGAGAGCGCCTCCAGCCACGGCACCCTCTCGCCGTTTTTGAACCCCCAGGAGCCACACAGAAAGCCCCAGAGCCCAAAGAAGGTCCCAGAGCCTCCCAAGAGTCTTCGATCATTCCGACGGAACTCCCAAGAGATCCCGCCCCCCCGCCTTTCGCCTCTTGTGGCTCCCTGGTAGCCTCGGCCCATGCTCCTGACCCCAAACACGGCCCGACACAGCTCCTGTCCCCGTTATCCTCTCTTCTCTTCTTCCTCCTCCCCCTCCTGATCCTCCTCCTCTTCTCGCTCCTCCACCCTCCACGCTCCGGCCGGGTCTTCCCGCAGCCGTCGATGCCACGAAAACCCTCCAGGGACCATTCCGAGATCGCCCAGACCCCCCCGAGACATGTGCAGGCAGCCTCCAGCCCTGGATCCTGGAGCCCGCAGCAGACCCTGGAGCTTGTCGGTCCCGAACTCGCTCGTGCCGCTTGCGATCGGCGACGCGTGCCCATTCGGGACCGACACCTTGACCTGCCAGCAGTGGATTTTCCGCGGGTGCATACTGGTCTCTACTACAATGTGGAGTCCACCGCTCGCCAAAGGGGCGAGCAGCGGCCGTGGACGGCCCGCTCCGGCGGCCACCGGCGGAGCCCTGGGGCCCGGCGCGCTTCCAAGGTGGCTTAAGAGCGCTCCGAGCCGCCCCCAGAGGTCCCTGAGAGGGCCCGAAGACGGCCGAAGACGGTCCAAGAGGGCCTCCGAGACTGGCCCCGAGCGCTCGAAGGCGCCCGAGACAGCTGCCCGACGGCCCAAGAGGCCTCCAAAATGCTCCAGGTGGACTCCAGAGAGATCCCCCAGAGCCTGAACAAGGAAAAATCGACCTAATCCTTAGTGAAAACGTACATTGCTGGGGTTCTCGTGCTTTTCGTCTTCGAAGCGTTCAACATGGTCACACAGGCCCTCAAGATCGTCCCGAGACGCCTCAGGAGGCTGCCAGGAGGGCCCCAAGACGGCTCAACACTGCGCCAGGACGGCTCCTCAGGCGCCCATGGCGGCCGCAAAGCAGGGCCAGGACAGGGTTTGGAGCGCTCCCGAGGGGCCCCAAGAGGGGGCCAGCAGGTCCCGAAGAGGGCCCCGACAGGGCCCCAGGACGCTTGTACTTGGTGCCCCTCTCGCAAGCCCAAGAAGCACGCCAAGCACGCGGCTTGGGGCCCTCGCGGGGCCTCCCGGGGGCGCTCCTGCGGCCCTCCCGAGGCCTCCGGGGCCCTCCAAGGCAGGGCCGGGCGCATCCTGCCGCAGAGAGGCCCCTCGTGGCAAAAGGGCGGGCCCGCGCCTGGCGGCGTCCCGGGGCCCTCTTGGGGCCCTCTTGGGGCCCTCTTGGAGCCCTCGGGGGGCCCTCTTCTCGGGCCGAACGAGAGGGGTGGATAGGGGAAGGGGGGTTACGAAATCTGCTGCATGCAGCTGGTTTCAGGCCCTCCGAGGGGCCCATTCCTCGATACGTGGCCGCCTCCCGGCGCCGGGAGGCGCCTGGAAAATCAGCTACGCGAGCTGATTCTCATCCCCCCCCCTTTCGCTTGGCCCGATTTTCGTGCCCTCTGGCATGACCCACCCATGGTTCGGAAGCCCCCGCCGCCAGTGGCAGCAAGCACGGGTACACGCTAGTCTATACTCTGACGCCAGGGGCGCCGCGTGCCAGAATGACGCAGGACCCAGAGGGTCAAAACCGTCCCGGGCTGGCCCCGGGCCCAGGGAAGCCTCAAGACGGGCCAAGAGGGCCCCAAGACCCCCCAAGACGGCCAAGAGTGCTCCGAGACGCCCAATGATCGGGCCCAGACGCCCAAGATGGCCCAAGGACGCCCCAAGAGGCCTCTCAAGAGGGTCCCGAGAGGCAAACATCGTTGAATTTCATTGGTTTTTCTATGTTTTTTGTGGTCTCTCTTTGTCTGCTTCCCGACGCTCGAAGACCGCCCAAGAGGCCCCCAAGACCGCTCCAAGACGGCCGACGAGGCCCCCAAAAGTGCTCCAAGACGGCCCTAGAGGGCCCCATGACAGCCCAAGAGGCGCGCAGGAGAGCCCAAAATGCCACCAAGAAGGCCTCAAAAGAGGCCCAAACGAGGGACCACAGACTAAAATATCCAGCTATCCGCCCTCAGAAGGCGCCAGGAGACCCCAAGAGGCCTCCAGGAGGCCCCACGGGGCCCCCGACGGGCCCCGGCAGACCCCAAGAGGCTCCCAAGAGACTCCCAGAGGCTCCCAACCGGCTCCCAGGAGGCCCTACGAGCCTTCCGAATTGCTACCACGAGAGAGGTGCTCACGAGAGGCGAGAGACATCTCTCAGACCCGAAGGAGCCGTCTTGGACGACACTGCGAGGGCCTTGGATGTTTGTCTTCTCGGAAGCTTCGTACGGCACAAGCAAGCGTCAAGCAATCCAGCATGCAGTACGCAGCCATCCAGCAACACACCCACACTGTCCACGCTGGAAAACGTGGACGAAGTCCACGGGTCAGCCCTAGTCTCTTCTCTTTGGCGGACATCAGCGCGTGCCAGAGGGGCAAAACAGCGCATGTGGATAATTGCGCCCCCTGGAGGGCCATTTCTCGACACCCCTCACGCAGATCCTGACCCCCCGAGCGTCACATATCGAGCCCTCCGCTCAAAGACGCGCCGAAGTGGCCATAAGAGGCTCCAAGGAGCGCCCAAGAGGCCCCCTAGAGGTCCCCAACAAGGCCCAAGAGGCCTCCTTCAAGAGCCTCCCACAGTCTTCCGAAGCATGTCCCCAGAGGCCAACATCCTTAACTTTTAAATGGTTTATGAAGGAGTTTTGCCTTCTCGCCTTCTCGGCTAGCAGACGCTCCAAGACGGCCGAAGAGACCCACAAAACCGCCCCTGGACGGCCCAACAGGCCTCAAAGCGCGTCCCCAGACGGCCCAGGGAGCCCCAGCGCATGTTGATAAATGTGCCCCCTGGAGGGCCATTTTTCGACACCCCTCACGCAGATCCTGGCCCCCCGAGCGTCGCAAATCGAGCCCTCCGCCCAAATACGCGCCGAAGTGGCCATAAGAGGCTCCAAGGAGCGCCCAAGAGTCCCCCTAGCGGCCCCCAGCAAGGCCCAAGAGGCCTCCAAGAGCCTCCCACAGTCTTCCGAAGCATGTCCCCAGAGGCCAACATCCTTAACTTTTCAATGGTTTTTGAAGGAGTTTTGTCTTCTCGCCTTCTCGGCTAGCCGACGCTCCAAGACTGCCGAAAAGACCCACAAGACCGCCCGAAAATGGCCCAACAGGCCTGGCGCGTCCCCAGACGGCCCAGGGAGCCCCAGCGCATGTGGATGAATGCGCCCCCTGGATGGCCCATTTTTCGACATACCTCACGCAGATCCTGGCCCTCCGAGCGTCACAAATCGAGCCCTCCGCCCAAAGACACGCCGAAGTGGCCATAAGAGGCTCCAAGGAGCGCCCAAGAGCCCCCCTAGAGGCCCCCAGCAAGGCCCAAGAGGCCTCCAAGAGCCTCCCACAGTCCTCCGAAGCATGCCCCCAGAGGCCAAACCGTTTTATTTTTCAACGGTTTTGAAGGAGTTTTACTTTTCGCCTTCTCGGCTAGCCGACGCTCCAAGACGGCCAAAGAGTTCCACAAGACCAGGACGGCCCAACAGGCCTCCAAGCGCGTCCCCAGACGGCCCAGGGAGCCCCAGCGCATGTGGATAAATGCGACCCCCTGGAGGGCCATTTTCCGACACCCCTCACGCAGATCCTGGCCCCCGAGCGTCACAAATCGTGCCCTCCGCCCAAAGATGCGCCGAAGTGGCCATCAGAGGCTCCAAGGAGCGCCCAAGAGGCCCCCTAGAGGCCCCCAGCAAGGCCCAAGAGGCCTCCAAGAGCCTCCCACAGTCCTCCGAAGCATGCCCCCAGAGGCTAACATCCTTAATTTTTCAATGGTTTTTGAAGGAGTTTTGCCTTTACGCCTTCTCGGCTAGCCGACGCTCCTAGACGGCCGAAGAGACCCACAAGACCGCCCCAGGACGGCCCAACAGGCCTCCAAGCGCGTCCCCAGACGGCCCAGGGAGCCCCAAGATGGCCCAAGAGGCGCCCAAGGCGGTCCCAGAGGACTCCAAGCCACCCATACGCCCACACAAGGCCCCAAGACCCCCCCAAGGGAACGCCAAGAGGTCCCCAGAGGCCCCCAAGAAGCCCAAAGCAAGCCCCACGAGGCCCCAAGACGGCGCCCAAGAGGCCCCAAATCTGCCTCCAAGAGCGACCCCAGAGGCCTCTGAGCCATAACCCAGACACAGGCACGGTGGCGGATTTCCTAGGCAGCGCCCGCTGGCCCCATTGTCACCAGACTACCAGATACAATTATCATTCGGCCCCGGCGAAGAGCAGATAACTTCTCACGACTACCCTCCCCGCAGAAACTATGATGAACACTGCGGCGTCAGAAACAGCTTCTGTCCACACCATGTCATGCCTACATGGGTGTGCTTGCACTGGCACTGCCTCCACCACCGCGTTCCTGCCTTCAGTCCTGCTTGCCTGCATCCCTCGCTCGCCTCCACCTCCAGCCAGCGGCCACCTCATTCCACGCCGTCCCCTCCACCCTCCCCTTACCCGCGAGGCCCCGGAGACGCTCCGCTTCCACGTCCACGCCATGGCGGGCAGATTCCGCGGCCAGAAGGCCACGGGCCAGCCCGAGTCAGCTACAACGCTGGGATCAGCGCGTCCGGGAAGGGCGAGCAGTGGGCGCGGGCTCTGGCGCTTCTGAGCGAGCTGCGGGAGGCGAAACTGGAGCCTAACGTCATCTAGTATACAATGCCAGGCGTTGCGCGTGCCGGAGGGGGTAACGATTAGATGCGCCTGCCGAGCCCGTGGCGGCGGCACCTCCGCAGCCCCGCTGGTGAAGCGACGCCTTCCTCGCCCAGTGTCCGTGGGGAGCTCCGCAAGTGCCCCGAACTTCGCCCAGGGAGCTCCTCTGCAGCGCAAGACGGCTCCCCCCCGACGGCCCGAGAAGGCTTCAATTAGGCTCCACAAGACTCCCCCATGATGGCCAATGATTTTTATCACCCACCAAAACACCTCAACCCAACCCGAAGGCCTCAAGGTGCCCTCCATTTCCGGTGGGGGCGGTCGGGGAACACTTAGGAAACCGTACCCCCCCACCCCGAAATTTGAGTCTTCGGGTTGGGTTGGGGTTGTCTGGTAGGTATTCTCGGAGGTTGACAGACCTCCCACCCTGACACGTCGATCAGCGCATTGGCCGTCGTCGCTTCGCGAGAGGGCGTCGCGGCCGTCGCTTTCGCGGGTCCAGGTGCGTCGGTTTCGGAGGAGGAGGAGGAGGAGGAGGAGGAGGAGGAGGAGGAGGAGGAGGAGGAGGAGGAGGAGGAGGAGGAGGAGAGAGACAGAGAGAACGAGGAGGAGGAGGGCGTTCCCACTCCAGGGAGGTCTACTAACCAAAGCGAGGCGTGCCCGCCGCCGGCCGGCCGCCTGAGGCCCCGCCCGCCTGTGCTCCGTCTCCCCAGTCAGAGCTCTGCGTGGCTCTTCACCGGAAGAGGCTCGCTCTCGACCCGCAGACCCAAAAGTGTGTCCGCCGCCGATATGAAAGCAGGGCCAGGATCGGGATAAATCGCTCCAGAGCGTTCCGGGGCGCTCTCAGAGCGTTCCGGAACGCTCTGAGAGCGGCCGCGGCGCCCAATACGTCCTCCAAACTCGCCGATTCTCAGAGATTTCGAGTTATCCCGATCCGAATTTGCCCCGACCTTCGTGTCTTTTTAGATCTTCCGATCCGAGCACGACAGAGCACCACGACCACCAGTGAGCGCACTGTGCGGGAGGGGCCCCTCGGGGGAGACGCCGCCGACCTCGGCCCCGCGCACGCTGGCTGCGGGGCTGTGGTCGAGTTTGTGGCCCTCTTGGGACGCCGCATCGGCCACAAGCAGTAAGTCGGGCGTGTCCCTGTAGAGGAGGAATATTCAAACATAGTCTGACATGGTACGCTTCGCCAGAATCCGCCTGCAGGAGGACACGCCCAATCTAACACAACCGCTGCGAAGCTGGTTTCGGCGTTCTGACAACATTTGGCATGCGCAAGGCATCCCCCAGGATGTATCCTTGATGTGTGTTGTGGTCGCTTGCTGTCCCCGCAATGAGCGTTTCCAGACGGTTCCAGGGCCATCCGAGATCGCCCCAAGACGGTCCAGGAGGCCATGCTAAGTGTTTCAAGACGGCCTCAGAGGGCATGGCGATTGCCCAAAAGAAACCCAAGACAGCCTCATACAGTCCCTGGTTGCCCCCAATACAGCCCCAAGAGTGGCCTAGGAACTGAACTGCCCAACAGGCACCAAAGCGAGCTCCAAGACAGCCCGAGAACCCCAACATGGCCTCAGGACGGCCCAAGAGGTCCCCGAGACGGCCCAAGAAAGCTCCAAAGTGGGTCAAGAGGTCCCCCAGAGACTCTCGAAGAGGGTCCGAAGAGAGTCCAGACGACAAGTTTCCCGTAGCCCCCAAGAAGTCTCCAAGACGGCCCAAGAGGGCAGCAACATGGCCGAAGAGGGCCCCCAGAGGCTCCAGAGAGTCCCAGGGGGCCTCGAAGAGGGTCTTGAGAGTCCAGACGACGGGCTTCCAGCAGCCCCCAACGGGCCAAGAACCTTCTAAGGACCACTCCGTCTCAAGAGACTCCGATACTTGCCAAGGAGCTCCAAGGAGAGCGCCTCGGGCCATGGCACCGTTTCGCCGTTTCTGGAACCCCAGAAGCCCCAAAGAAAGCCCCAAACCCCAAAGACAGCCCCCAGAGCCTCCCAGGAGATTCGGATAGTTCCGTCGGAACTCCCAAAAGAGCCTCCCGTCTCCCCATCTTTCGCCGCTGTGGCTCCCCAGTAGCCTTGAACAAAGCCTCTGACTCAAGCCCCAGTAGCCTGAACAAGCCCCAGTAGCCTGAACAAAGCTCCTGTCCTCCTCCTCCTCCTCCTCCTGCTCCTGCTCCTCCTCCTCCTGCTCCTCCTCCTCCTGCTCCTCCTGCTCCTCCTGTCCTCCTCCTCCTCCTCCTGTTCTCCTCTGTTTTCTTCCTCCTCCTCCTCCTGCTCCTCCTCTTCTCCCCCCTCGACGATCCGGCCGCTCTGGGGACCCTTGGCTGCTTCCAGGGGCTCCCCGCTCCTCCTCCTCCTCCTCCTCCTCCTCCTCCTCCTCCTCCTCCTCCTGTCTTCGCTCCCCACTCCTCCCCTGACTTTTCACCGCCTCCCTTCCGAGCTCCGGCCGCTCAGGGGACATGCCATAGCTCTTGGGCGTCGGCGACACCTGCGCGTTCGGGACCGACGCTCTGACCTGCCGGCCGTGGATTTTCCACGGGTTCACGCTCGTCTCTTCTGCAGTGCTGGAACCTCTGCGTGCGAGGAGGTGCTGTGTACCAATCGCCTCCTTTTTGTTCTCCGAGAGGCCCTGGGAGGCCGAACAGCGCCCCTGGGGCAGCTCCGACAGCCCTGCGGGCCTCGGGGCACGCCCCCTGCACTGCCCAGCGGGGCCCAAAGGCGGCCGAAGAGGCGCCCAAGACGGCCCCAACGGCCCAAGATGCCCCCAAGACTGCCCAAGAAAATCCCAAGAGGCCCCGCAAGAGGGCCCAGATGATCCCAAATCATGGATTTCCGATGTGTTTTCGAAGGATTTCGACGTTCTCGCCTTTTCGGGCTTCGGATGCTGCGTGATATCCCAAGTGTACGGCCCATGTCGGCCTCGAGAGGGACCCAAGAGGGCCCCAAGAGGGCGAACTAGAGCTAGAATTTCGTACTCTCCGCCCCAAGCTGGCCCCCGAGACCGCCAGCAGACCCTCAAGAAGCCCCTCAGGATGCCTGCACGAGGCCGAAGTCAGGCCCCAGAGTGCCCCGAGAGGCCCAAGACACCCCACAAGCCGCCTCTCAGAGGCTTCCGAGGGAAGATCGAGAGCTGTGGGACCGCGCCGGCCACCCAAGAGAGCCCCATCGGCGATCTAAGAGGAGACCAAGATGTTCGGCCACACGAGCGCCGAGGCCATCGATGCAGTCGTGTGCTAGCCTCTTCTCATGCCTCCCTTCTCGTTCCTCGCTCCACGCTCCTCGCCTCCCCCCAGCTTTTGGCAACCTTCTGCGCCGGTCCAAGTGACATCTTGCACAGATTTCGTGGCGGGCAGGCCACGCGTCAGCCCTAGTCTGTACCACATTTCTGGTCGTTGCGCGTGCGAGGCGCCCCCGTAGTGCGCCAGCTGCCCCTGACCGCCCGGAGCGCTCCGCGGCTCTCCGACGGCTCCCGAGAGGTCCCGAGGTGGCTCCAATACGACCTCAGGCCCGAGTCTTGCTCCGAGGAGCTCCGCAGGGCGCGAGGACGTCCCAAAGGAGCGCCCGGAGGGAGCTCCATGACGGCAGCGGCGGTGGCCCTCGGCGACGGCAGCAGTGGCCATTGCGACGGCAACGGCAGCGGGGACGGCGACGGCGACGCCATCAGCCAGCAGAGGCCAACAGGGCCTCCGTGCGGTCCCCCCTCCGTCCTCTCACGGGAGCTTTCGGAGGCCTCCCCCGGACGTCCGGGAAGTCCGCGGGCGCGGGCGGCCTTTTTTTACGGAGAGGCCCACGAGCTCCCTTTCGGGCTTCCTCCTCGTCTCCAGAGATGCTCGCGGCGACCCCCGACGTGTGCCACACTGGACCCCCCTGTTGTTGCGTCCGTGCGCGTCGGGCGCTTCCTGGAGGGCCGCGCGGAGCTCCTCTTGGCCCTGGCCTCATCCGTCTCCGGGCCTTCTGGAGCGAGCCCCACGGATGCCACAGCGCCATCCCTGTCGTAGCAGCCGTCGGGGGCCCCCTTCGTCCTCTCACGGGACCTTTCTGAGGCCTCCCCCGGCCGTCCTGGACCTCCCTGGGGACGTCGGCGGGCGCCGACGGCCCCTGTCGGAGAGGCCCACGAGCTCCTCTCGTGCTTCCTCGTCGTCTCCAGAAAGGCTGGCGACGACTCCCGACGTATGCCACAACGGACCCCCCCTGTTGTGGCATCCGTCGGGGGCCCCCTGGGGGGCCGTGCAGAGTCCCCGTCGGCCCCTCATTGGGCCTCTTCGGGCCATGCTGGAGGGCTCTTCTAGGGCTGGCTTCGCAGTGCAGCGGCGACGTGGAGCCCGATTCTCTCCACGCCAACGTCGCCGATGCATCGCCGACGCTGCCGACACGTCGGAGACGCATCGCCAACTCGGTGCGACTCTTTCACGACGCCTCAGACAGGCTCGCAGGAGGACCCAACATGCCCCCGACACGGCTCCAGGGACGCCCGAGCTGTTCAACTTCGACGAGGTGTTCATCCACGGTGTGCGAGTCCTAGGTTCAGCACGCTGTGGATTTAATCCACGGGTTCGCACTAGTCAGCTGCAACGCAGGGATCAGCGCGTGCGAGAAGGGCGAGCAGTGGCAGCGGGCTCTGGCGCTGCTCAGCGAGATGTGGGAGGTGACGCTGGAGTCCAGCGTCACCAGCTACAACGCTGGGATCAGCGCGTGCGGGAAGGGCGAGCAGTGGCCGCGGGCTCTGGGGCTGCTCAGCGAGATGCGGGAGGCCAAGCTGAAGCCCGACGGCATCTGTCCTCTGTGGTCGGGGGTGGCGCGTGCCAGAAGGGCGGGAGGAGCTCCACTGGCCCAAGTGGCTCCCGTTGGGGCCTCGGCGGGGGTCCGAGGCGGCCCAAAGTGGTCCGAGACGCCTCCAGACGCCCGAAGAGGCCGCCGATCTGATGGCCTTCAGGCGGCCCGGCAGGGCCCCAGGACGGCCCAAGAGGGCCTGCTCCTCCTCCTCCTCCTCCTTCTCCTCCTCCTCCTCCGCCTCCTCCTCCTCCTCCTCCTCCTCTTCCTCCTCCTCCGCCGCCTCCTCCTCCTCCTCCTCCTCCTCCTCCTCGGCCCCAGGACGGCCCAAGCGGCCCCAAAAGACGGCCCCAGGGGGTCCCGAGAAGAGGAGCTCGGCCCGCCATTCCGCTGGCGGGCCCCCGGCAGGTCCCCACCCAGGAGCCCCAGGAGGCCCCCCGAGAGGCCCAGAACAGGCCCCAAGGAATCCCCAGACCGGCCTCCGAGAGGCCTCCGATGGCAAGCAAGCGCGCAAGTCAGCAAGCAGGCACACACCGAGCAACAGGCCCAATGCAAACGGGCAAGCTGTTTGCAGACAGCACTGGCAGCAGGCAGTTTCAACACACAACCAGCAAACATGCAAACATCGACTCCTCGAGCCTCCAACCCAAAGTCCCGTCAACATCGACAGAATCCTGGAGGAGTCGCCCCCCAGACCCTGGGGAGGGGTCTGTGCGCAGTGCTTTATCGCCTCAGATCGAAAATTTTGACGCCCCCCGAGCCCGAAAGCAGCCCCCACGGACTCATAAGGACGACACGCCGCTTCGAACTTCGACGCTCCTCGCCCATCTCCCCTCGGCCGTCGCTCCTCCCTTCTCGCTCCTCGCTCTGCGCTGATCGCCCCTTGCTTCTCCCCCTCGATCTCTTCGATGTTCTCGATCCTGAGTCCTCGCTCGTTGATCCTCTCCCAGCAGCTGGCTGCGCTAGAACGCTGAGGTCCCGAGAAGCATCGCACTGCAGCATGCAGAAGCAGCAGCAGCAGCAGCAGCAGCAGCAGCAGCAGCAGCAGCAGCAGCAGCAGCAGCAGCAGCAGCCGCGGCGGCGGCGGCGGCGGCGGCGGCGGCGGCGGCAGCAGCAGCAGCAGCAGCAGCACACAGCAACAGAAAGCAGCAGCAGAAGCAGAAGGCAGCGGGCAGCAACATGCAATCAGCGGCAGCACGCGCATAGCAGATCTGGCAATCAGCAGCACCCTGTAGCTACAAGCAGCAACAGCACCTACCAGCGGTGAACTTTACCAGCAGCTCGCAGCAGCAGCAGTGGCAGTGAGCAGGAACACGCAACGGCATGCGCGGAATGCGAACTCCGAGCCCCACGTCCCTTGTCCGCCTTTCTTGCAGATTCCGTATACGCAGTCCGCGGGTCAGCCCCCGTCTCTATTACAGTGCCAGGTGCGCTATCGGGTCGGCCTGGCAGGCCCCGGCGCGCGGGGGTGCGCTCGAAGACGGCCCAAGAGAGCTCCAAGACATTTCAAACGAGGTACTCGACCGCCCAAGAGGTCTCCAAGACGGTCCCAGAGAGTTCCAAGAGAGCCCAGGAACGCCCCAAGGCGGCCCAAGATGGCCTCCCAGCGGCACTGAGGGGCCCACAGCGCGTCCAAGACGGCTCGAAGGGGACCCCCGCAAGATCCTCCAGGAGCAAGAGCACTTTCTTCCGTCGGCGTCGAGGCAGAGGCAGTCCGCTCCAGCGTGTGGCTATTCGGGGCAACCGGAAGGCGAATTGCCCGGCGTGCACGAGGAAGGAAACAAGATGAGGGCGGCCGCGCGGGGGGAGGAGGAGGGGGAAGCGCTCAGACGTGGAAGAGTAGAAGCAAAAACACATCAAGTTGGGGCCCATGCCACGAAACACACTGCTTGCCTCCAGGGTGCCCTTGGTTTCTTGGGTTTCGATGGTTTCGCCATGTAAAGCGTGACGTTCCCACATCAAAATCAATGGACGTCCTGGGGTCAGAAGCGTTTGGTTTTCTTGTGGAAGGTTTCTTGTGGACTGACCTCCACTGTATTTTTGAGTCGAAGGGTCTTGTGCCCGTTTTCGTAGATTCGCTTTTTCGGGCTTCGAGGCGCCCAGGGCCGCCTGAGAACGGTCCCCGAGATCGACCCCGGACGGCCCCGGAGGCGCCCAGGAGGCCCCAAGACGGTCCAACAGGGCTCCAAGGCGGTCCACATGGCTTCCAAGAAGCCGGCCCAGGAGGCCGCCAGGACTGCCTCCGTGCGGGCCACAGTCTGGCCCAAGGCGGCCCAGGAGCTCCCCCAGACGGCCCCGAGAGGCCCCCCCGAACGTCTCCAGGCCCTCCACAGCAACGCCCACTTGCCCCGGAGACCGGGCCCCCCACGCGAGCCCAAGGCGTCCCCAAGAGGGCCTGGAGGGACTCCCGAGAGGCATCCCGAGAGGCATCCCCGAGAGGCATCCCGAGAGGCCCCCCCCCGAACGTCCCCGGGCCCCTCCACAGCAACGCCCACTTGCCCCAGAGACCGCCCAGGGTGGTCCAGGAGGGCCCCCATGCGAGCCCAGGGCGTCCTCAAGAAGGCCTGGAGAGACGATAGGCATCCCGAGAGGCCCCCCCGAACGTCCCCGGGCAACTCCACAGCAACGCCCACTTGCCCCAGAGACCGCCCAGGGTGGTCCGGGAGGGCCCCCCGTGCGAGCCCAGGGCGTCCCCAAGAGGGCCTGGAGAGACGCCCGAGAGGCCTCCCGAGAGGCCTCCCGCCTCGCGTCGCGGGGCTTCTCACAACATGATGGACCCACGAACCCGGAAAGGGATATAGATATGTGCAGCATGGTCACGTTTTCACGATATCCAACTGGGCGACACCTCACGAAACATCCCACGAGACACCCCGCGAAACATCCCAGGAGACACCTCACGAAACAACCCACGAGACACCTCACGAAACATTCCACGAGACACCCCGTGAAACATTCCACGAGACACCCCACGAACAGGCAACCACTCAACCAGACACCCCACGAAACATTCCACGGGGGTGCGACTGGGTGTGGTCGTGCTTGGGTGTGGTCGTGCTGGAGTATGGTCGTGTTGGGGTGTGGTCGTGCTGGGGGGTGGTCGTGCTGGGGGGTGGTCGTGCTGGGGGGTGGTCGTGCTAGGGGGGTGGTCGTGCTGGGGTGTGGTCGTGCTGGGGCGTGGTCGTGCTGGGGCGTGGTCGTGCTGGGGCGTGGTCGTGCTGGGGTGTGGTCGTGCTGTGGTGAGGTCGTGCTGGGGTGTGGTCGTGCTGGGGTGTGGTCTTGCTGGGGTAGGGTCGTGCTGGGGTCGGGTCGTGCTGGGGTGTGGTCGGGCTGGGGTATGGTCGTGCTGGGGTGGGGTCGTGCTGGGGTGGGGTCGTGCTGGGGTGTGGTCGTGCTGGGGTGTGGGGCCGTGCGGGGGTGTGGTCGTGCTAGGGTGTGTCTCGTGC